AAGAAATAAATATATTTTATTTTGTTACATTTTATTGTGAGGAGGATTTACCCTCATCGTCACCCTTGTCAAGCTGATTGATGACAACCGCAATAACTGACGTCTCGCACATTTATATACGTACTTACTATTATCATGTATTCTTTCCGAAGGAATAATATATAAAGATGTATACACTTAAGCAACAAGTAAGTACACGGTGAAAAATGAAAAATGGGTACACGGTTCACCTGATAGCCTGCGGAAGCTAAAGCCTACAGAAATCTACACCTATCATAATATGTTAAGACTCAAAGTGCAGATGCGTGGTTTTCTAAGCAAACGGGGTATTGTCGTTAAATACTGTAGCATGAATCTGCCATGTTACGCTTTTTTCTGTGACAAACGTGGTCCTGCTTCGGCCTATATGATTCATTCGTGCTGCAACCACATAAGAGTTGTCGTTAAATAAATAAAACAACAGTTGGTCTAAAAACTGATTATTTACTTAAAGAGAATATTTTTGTAAAATTTATAAATAACAATATTAATGAACTTACCATAAAATACCTTTTATTAGCAATTAAAGTAATGTCATTAAAATAAATAGAACATCGAAACCTCGATAAGAGGGACCATTTATTTGGCTATACTTGATAGTATACTTCAGTTTTTATTCATAACCATAATAATGAAAACGTTTTTGTCCACAGACATAAAATACAAACTGAGAACCTAATAGAACATTAAAGATATTAACGTTTCATTGTTAAATGACTCCAAGTTTTATGGCTGATATCAGGCAATCTTCACAATGAATATGACAAAGGCGAAGAAATTTAATGAGAAATTGTCAAGAAGCTGCAAAATAATTTGACAATTTACTTAATAAATGTTTGTTGTAGAGATTATTGGTTTTCTATGCTTATCAATTTAATCCGCAATCATCATATGTTGTGTTCTACATAGAGTTTTATAATCTGATATTGTATACCAAGTGCCTTTGATTTAAATTATTTAAGTCATTGACATCGCATTCATGCAAAATATTGCGCCTGTATTTCAGTCCAAAAAACTTTTCTCAAGATGTCACTAGATAATATGCAACACATCTAGTATAAACGAGTAAACATTGGATATTAAAAAGTAGTGAAGAAAAATTGCTTTTTTAATATTTTTGCCAGTTTTAACTGCAGAATTTCAGTAAATGAATTAATTAATGTTTTACTTCATTTTACTGAAATTCTACAGTAAAATAAAGTAAAACACTAAATTTAATATTTCCTTATGAGAATTTTTGTATTCCCAGTCGATCGTATTTAAATAGGTAATACTCTTTTTGTTTCTTTTATGTTATAAATGTAATGTAATTTCATTTTATATGGGCCTCACCTATTATCTCCTTAATTCTCGTAAGCGTCAAGCTTAACAGATGGACATTTTGAAACTTTGAAGCCTATTAAACATTTACCCGTTATAAAAACTTTACTTATCAAGTTTAAGGATCTCACAAATATACACAAAGGAATACGTAATTTACATACTCATTTGTGAACCAGTATGTAAATTTTAGCGCAGTACGTATTTCTTTCCATATGCCTAATCTATTTTACTAAAATTATTTATTATTTTTCATTCTTGGAATAAGAAAATAAAATTTTACACCAGTATTTATATCAATAATAAAAAGTATCTTAACAAATGATTCACTATATTTCACCCGTGTCAAGTAAATGCTTCTGGTTAAAAGTATCATTTTCTATCAGTTAAGTAAAATCAATTCTTCATGAAGGTTTTCATGTACAGCTGCGCGAATGCTAGCTGGTAAAAAGTAGAGTCGCAGCCTTTATATGTTAAGTGCCCCTATTTATAATTTCGAATTTCATTAATTTCCAAAATCTTTACGGTTAAATTATACTCAAATAATATAATAAATATAATTGTACTCAAATAATAATTTATCTATGTAAACAAGCTTTTAATAACTTATTGCATAAACCATCAGCAACACGTGTATTTACCACCATTAAGCACTGTTACATTACGATTACAATGTGGCAAGCATCAACAATGTAGACAAAATACAGAAAGAACTGGAAGTCAGCTGGATCCAACGTTAGTTCTACTGCAACTGCAAGTTAGAAGTTGTATATACACAATTGATGAACTTGACATGCGGCAACGGCAAATTGTATTGCTATTCGATGGTATCCCTGAGGACTCTGAAGTAAGCTTAATTGATAAGGTTGTAAGCTTAATACTTAGCAAAATGCAGCTAAGTCTGGAATTTTATGCATTCAAGGATTTGGTCACACAAATGCTTAGTCTACTACAACTGCATGTTGTAGTATACTAGGCATTATATAAGAATATATATATATATATATATGGCCCTCGCAAATCTCTCACAAAACTCCGCACGTCCACGCATGACCATCTATGCCACGTGAGGGCAAGACATTGGACTTATAATTAACTTAACCAATGACCAACGGAGCTCTAGATACCTTCAATGATGGAGAGACAATTACTTAGTACTATTTTAGGGCCGCTACCTGAGGGTGAGCGTCGGGGCACGTCTGGAGCTGACGCTGGACGTGACAGCGTACGGGCTGTCAGCGGCTCTCTGCTGAGCAGGCGGGCGAGAGTCGGGGAACCCGAAAATATTACAGCCGATCAATGGGAAGGGACCCATCCCTTGGATGGGTTATGCTTTGCAGAGTACGGATTTACCTACAAGCTCTGCCGGCTCATCTTCGATGACCACAAATAATACAGAACATGATGATAGAAGAAGAAAGTGGTCAACAGAATAACTTCAAGAATTAATGTTTTGTTACTTTAAAGCAAGATCAATTGGACCAGGATACATAGGCAGGATACAGAAACTTTTCACAGAAAGAAACCCAAGTAACAATATATATATATATATATATATATATATATATATATATATATATATATATATATATAAATACATAACATATACAGATAAAGAGATTAAGATGGCAATAGTTAAAAGACACAATGAACTGTGGCGACAAAAGCCCTTACATGGACAATTTCCTAAAACAGTTTTAAATCAGGCCACTATAGACATAGAACTTTCATATCAATGGCTTAAAAGGCAACAGGTATCTCCAAGTACAGAGTCATCAATATTTGCAATACAAGACCAGTCCATTAATACGCGGCAACATCAACGTGACATATTAAATGAGCCAGTAGATGGAAAATGTCGTCTGTGTTCCTGTAAATATGAAACCACACAATACATAATATCCATATGTGACAAACTAGTAGGGACATATTACGTAAAGCGACATGATAACCTTGTCCAGTACGTCTATTGGTGTCTGGCTAAAAAGAACAAAATAGAAGTTTCTAACTTCTGGTGGCAAGAAACCCTCATCCGACCACAAATTAAGGAAAATGAGTTTGCTAAAATCATGTGGAAAATGCCCGTTCAAACTGATATTACTGTAACACATAATAGGCCTGATTTGATATATGTTGATAAAACAAGTAATAAAACATTCTTAATAGATATAACTGTACCACCAGACTACAATATAGGACCTAAGGAAATTGAAAAATTAAGCAAATACCACCTGCTAAAAACTGAAGTCAGTCGTTTGTGGAATACACAAGCAACTGTCATTCCCATAGTAATAGGAGTAACGGGAGTGGTAGCTAAAAGTATTAGGAAATACATAGATAAATTAGATAGCCATATTAACATTAGTATTCTTCAAAAACAAGCAGCTATTCACACATCAACTATACTCACTAAAGTGCTAAGGGATACCGTATTTGTACATAATCAACCGGACCATCTACATATACAGTTCACACAACAGTCATCAAACACGCAGCTGTCACCAAGCACAACGGATACAATAAACACCACAAGCACATCGAATATACAACGTTCACTAAACATCCAAGAACAACACATGCAAACCATACAACAATCATTAGGTATAACAGACATACAACAATCATTAAATGCACCGGACTCATCTAACACAAATTATAATCCGAATGTACAACAGTCACTAAATTATCGAGAAAAACGAGGACGAGGGAGGAAAAGAATGAATAAAGTCGAACAAAATACAGAAAATACATCTTGAACGAATCTTTACATATACCTAATTTTATTTACAATATATATATATATATATATATATATATATATATATATATATTAATAATAGGTATAGGATATCACTTCGGAAATTAATGCTAATGTGGAGCTGTAAATTTTAGTATTTACTTCGAATGGTTTGTGTAATGTTATGCACTCTCGTAGGACCTTCCATTGACGTTCAGTCAATTGTTGTAGATTGGCTGTACTTGGGTTATCCGAGATGTAGAGATATATTTCCCTTTTTGATAATACAATCTGCTTATCATATAAAAAGTACTATTCCATCTTGTGGTAATATCTTGCACGAGTTTGTGCTCTGGCAGTTTCAGTCCTTTTTATATCAGGGTCAGTTTTTCTTGAGCCGCTGCAGAATGGTTAAAGTGGCGTACAATATTTTTATCTGAGGCAGTAACATCGATTAAATTTTGTTCTTTCAACAAAGCTTTTAGGGTTAACTGCAGCGTATGTATGTAGCATCTTTTGCCAACATATTGACTATCATTTATAGCTTTTCACAACATTGGGTACATTCTCAAAACAATATGAATGACAGTATCAATATCCCACCTCGCGGATAAATCTGAAAACACTGATCGAATATTGTCTGCCGTGTGTGGTCTCCTAAGATGATACATCTGCAACAGTCTACGCTGAAACTCAAACTCCTCGTCTAGCCTTTGAGCGGTGTAGCTTAAGAATTCGAGTAAGTTATTCATGCAGGTCCAAATAACAATAGTTATTGATATAGCTTCAGCTTTTGTAATTTCCGCTCATATTACGTTTTTCACTTTAATGTACTTTCATACTTTCTACCGGGAATTTTGTATTTCAGTTTTAAGGTATTCGTTAATCTTTGGCACCCATTATTTTAAAACATAGATATCAGTTTGTTATCTACCGCGATCGTCTCCGCCATAGCTTTGTGAATTTCTTTGGCGCGCGAATCAGTTGTGTCCCATTTTGTAGTAAATGACTCGAAAAGGGTTGGTTGTATTTTTGTTGCATTCGATTGCGACGACGAAGTTGACGATGCTGACTCACGATTTTGAGATATTTCCCGCAAAGTTCCATTTTCCAAATCTTTTGACTTTTCGTGTCTTTTATTTTGTGCTACTCGGTGCATCTCTAATTTGTATGTATAGATGTACAGATTAGGAAGTTTTAATTTGATTTTAAATTATATTAAATGTATTAGCATTTACTTTAACATTCAATCATATTTCTTTGTAACCCTCGATACTTGCCAGCAACAATACGTACACTAGGGTAGTGTTATCGACGAGATCGGGCTTCACGGACTTTCATGTAAGAAAAGTGCGGTAGAGTTCCTTTTGGGACTGTAATCACGACGTCACTGCTGGTAATACGAAGGATGGTTTTATTCTAGCTCAAAGATTAAGTTAATATAGCCATTCAGCGAGAAGCCATAGTTTGAGATTTTAGTTTTAAATTGTTAATATTCTTTACTGATTGACAAATTAATAAATACACCAATTATTTATTAATTTCTCTGTTAAGTAATTTGACTCATCTCAAGTTTGTTCTTCAATTTTTTTTGTGTTAGTACACTATTGTAACTTGATGTTGATATCAATCGTTTAGTAGCCTCCTTAACATTTTTTATAAGTTTCTGATATTTAGAAACATCTGAAAAATTTGTTAATTCAAAGGCTCCATTATAAAAATAATATTCACACATTTAAAAACTGGGTTAATGGAATTTTAAATAACCTCAAATGAAACTCTATGCTTGTTACCTCACGTCTGTTCGCTAAAGCTAGAAATTATAGGACGTGAGAAACTCGGTTACTCCGACGAGTCTTTGCTAAGAAAGCCATTATTGATCGCCATTAGCTAATGGATATCTAGATAACTTAATAGAGAAAAAGTATATGATTTACATCGCTTACTCGGAATAAGTCACATAGTTTTAGGCATTTTAAATTTTATTTTGAGATAAAGTAAGTAGGTTTAAAAGCATTTTTACGAAAAGCTCGCTACATTCGCGTCGTAGGATAGACGACAATGATACCTAGTGGTCAAGTGCAATATTCCTCTGCACTATGCAGGAGTTTACATGCTATATTGTGAATGTGCTCTCTCTTTCTTAAAACATACTAGGGTTTCATATTAGGGTTTTCATTTCGACAGCTGTCATATTTGACAAAAATACTTATATAGCCTTCATCACAAAACACAATTACTATCTACTCAGAGGGCTTGATATTTCACCACGGAACGCTACACGCTTCAACAACGCGTTGACATTGTTAAAATGTATTATCAAAATCAGTTTTTCGTTCGTCTAGCATTCCATGTGTTGCGTCCAATGTATGGCATTCATGACCGTCATGCAGAGTTCGAAATCCGTCGTTTAATGAATAAATTTAAGATATCCAAGTCGGTAATCGATGAAGCAGTGCCTGTACCTCAAAAAAAACGCAAGATCATCGTAGAATATTTTTGCCGATCGGGACAGTGTGCGAGAAAACCCCAGACAGTCCATTCCGCGTCGTACGCAAATGCTTGATCTTTCTGTGACATCAATTTGGCAGATTTCGCGTCAAGACTTGGGCTTTTATCCAAACAAAGTTCAAGAGCCAAAACCCAACGACCTCAGACAGCACCGATTATTCACTGATTGGGCCTTTAGAGCATTTGGCGTCTGAACCTGCTTTCGGTTAGAGAATCGTCTTCAGTGATGAGGTTCATTTCTGGTTGAGTGGCTTTGTTAACAAATAATATTGCCAGATTTGAAACACCGAAAATCCACAGGAGATTCATCAGGTGCCTATTCACTTTATACTTAGCAAAAGGCAGTATTTCGTTTGCCCTTTTTCCTTCGAGGATGCGTAAGGAACCGTGCTCACTGTCAATGGTGACCGATATCGAACATAGATAACAAATTTTTTGTGGCCTAGAATAGTTGGTATGGACCTCACAAATATGTGCTTCTATCACATCGACGCCACAGTGAATGGCAAATATTGAATTTATTGGATGATAAGTTTGAGGGCTTCGTCATCATGGTGGTGACATCAAATGATCACCGAGATCGTGTGACGTGAAATCTCTGGTCTATGCAGACAAAGCACGGACAATAGCCGCCATGAAGGTCGTTGTAGCTCGTGTTATTCATGAAATTGAGTCGTATTTATGCGAAAATATCGATCGAAATAGATCCGCCAGGATACAGATACCTACACCTTATACCTGTAAGATATGTAAAATTTATGGCAGTTACGCTTACACAGGTTGTTTTATTTCACTTCAATGTTTGAGCGCTCTTAGTGAAAAACTCCATTAGGGGTCAACAAAATTCACGTAAAAGAACACATACCTAACTGTTATAAAAAGTCAACGCTCCGGGAAGCCAGCGGTCTGTGAACATGTAGGATCGCTCACGCTACTAAATCAGCTTCGATTGACCACAAATACAGGGAGTATTAAAGGACAAAGGAATATGATAAAGGAGGAAATTATATAACATTCTAAGTTCAATAGAGAAAATAGATTAGTGCTACCATCTGCTTGGTATGCTATAATTAATAAAATTAAATCCCAACCCAAGCATACAACTGCAAAACTTCAAAATACGTTCTGCGTGGATAAAAAAATAATTTTAAACGAAACTATGACATTGGCACTTCGACCTTGCTCTCCGTGATCATAAGTGTTACGTATAAAGTACTAGATACTAACTACAAAATTCATAAAAAGTAGTTTAATTCGAATGCGTAATCTTTACGTAAACTTAAAAAAAAAATATTAAGAAAAAAGTTCCTACAGTAATTGAAGAGTAGGGCTCCCCATTAGATGGATTTAAGATCTGGTAAGAGATGTCGGAAGTCGATGGATACAGGTGGCTTAGGACCGTGTTTTGTAGCGTTCCTTGGTTGAGGCCTATGTTCAGCAGTAGACATGTGATGGGTTTCAATAAAGATGATAATGATGATGGGCTTACTATAACTGTCAAAATTCTCTTAAACCATCATTATATTCTAATACGATAGCGACCCGTCCTGCCTTCACTAGTCAAAAATCATTTATTTTTCCAGTTTTTTTTTTTTTTTTTAATTTAAACCTCTGAGTTTTTTAAATGAAATGTATCCAATGTCACTTCTGGCATTGCTATCTGTCTATTCATGAAGTTTCGTTACAATAGGTTCAGTCAATCTTAAGATTAGTCCAAACAGACAAACAAACAAAAAATTTCAAAATGTTTATTTTTTAATGGCATGCAAATAACTCCTCAGCTCAACTTAAGATAGTCATTTCGTAATATCAGGCAGACACTTTGAAATTTTAATTTTCAATTTTATTAATGTGTATATATTTATTGCTCCTAGATTTCCATGCGAATAAATTGTTTATGTAAAACAAAATAAAGTAACGAAGTTACACAGCTAAAATAGGGCCAACAGGCAAAATTTATTTTTATTATGTGTATTATTTACCTTATCTTCTCTATGTTATCTGTCCCTTTATATACATACGTAAGAATTTATCAAGCACTAACAAGACGAGTTTTCGATATCAATTTACAAAAGTGTAGGCGGTAAATCGAAATCAATTTACGAACTTGAATATCGTTGTACGAAAAACGGCGTACCTTTTCTTCATCCGCATTTTTATGAGTTTGAATAACATAAAAGTATTTTATTGACCCCAAAAAAATATTTCTTATACTCATATCTCTATCATAATAATTAGATATGCTCATGAAAAGACTTCCTCAACGCACCACCCCTCTCTGTTTATTTTTAATAATGCCACTAAAATCTAGATAAATCCAAATAGTTATATTTGGATTTATCTAGATTTTAGTACTAAAATATTTCGATTAGTTATACCTTTCCATAATTTTAGAATATATGCCGTGTCAAAAGTTTAGTGTTGGAAAATCTCACGCCCACGCTCTTAGTGATTTTTACCTTATGAAACCTGTTATACCCGAATAGTTAAATTTGATGCTCATGTTCAAGCTTAGCGTTATAATTATTATCTCAAGCAAACCGCACGCATCCGAAATATTTTCCAATTTCTTAAACATGAAATTCCGACACAATATCTTCATTAACTAACTATATTTATACTCAGTGGGATATGAAAAACAAATAAAGACAACAACTGCAATCTCCCGCATTAAAAAAAGAAATGTTTAAATAAAGATGATCGACCTAGAATGTTCTACCATTCTCTCATCAGATATAAAAAAGCGTACGCCGGATCATTAAAATTGAAGTGAACAAAGGAAGGGGGAAGATTTATTTCTTAGAAATATTTAATATCTCATCAAGTTCAAAAAAGTTTTCAGAATCATGAAAACGTAGTTAAAAAGAAATTCACTATACGTTAAACGGACAAAACGAGACCTGACATACTATATTTCAAAATGGTGGTTTGGTTTTATCGCGTCGAGTGCATTCGCATGTCATAACTTAAAATTCTGAAAAACTGTTAACTTGCTAAATCAGTGGAATTAATTGTTACGTCGTTTTAATATACCAATTACATTACGGATTTTTCAATAACATATTTTGGTCTATCTTACACCGGACATACCGAAAGATCAATTAAATCCCCCGTATAAAAACATATCTGTAGTGAAGGATGAAGAATGACGTTCCACGAAGTCTGCATTTTGTGTACATCACAGGGTAGCCCCCGCCATTATATTAGATCTGATAGACCACAAATCCTCGCAAAGCAATACGAATTTCTACCAAAACTGATTTGTGAGGCCATTGAAATAAAAAAAAATACGTGTGGCACTCGGTGACTGCCGCGGTAAAGCTATTGCATAGCATTTTTTATCAACTTATGCAATTATAATTATTTATTTATTTTATTTATGCACTTAAGTCTTTGATATTAAATCAAGTTACACTTTTTGAGCGTGGTGACCGATAAGAAAACAATTTTTTTTCTCTTATTGAATAAATGAGAAATTAATATTGTTTAAAATATTTTTAATATCTTACAATAAATGTAGGTTATTCAGGAATTTTTATCATTGAGTTAGCAGCTAGTGTACACGCATACGTCTAGTCGCACATACACAAACACCGTGCCGAAGTCTGCCGAGTGCCGAAGTCTGCCGAACTGAAACTACGTTAGACG